GTTGAGTCACCATCCCCGGAGGTATTTAAAAGACGTGTAGATGTGCCACTTAGGAACATGGTTTAGTGGTGGACTTGGCAGTGTCAGGGTAACGGTTGGACTTGATGATCTTAAAGGTCTTTTCCAACCTAAATGATTCTATGATTCTATATAGGGATATTATTTCAACACACTGGAATGTATTTACATTTAGGTATACAGACTACTGATAGAAACCTTTTACAGATTTGTTAAATATATTGTAGCTTTGGAACCAATCCATTTTTCTTCCAATTTATGTTTGATATTAATACAAAAGTTGAATGCTTTCTCACATCTTACATAGCTTAGGATGTGCTTTCGTGTAACCCAATCATGTAATCCAACAGTTATTTCATAGCAATAGAAAGAAAATGTAAAATAATTAATCTCTCTCTCACACACACATGTATCTAGAAACCAGGACATCACAGAAATTTAGCAATATTTGGTAACTCTACATAAATAAAGAGCTTACTTTCTTCCTTCTTGCTAATAATGGCTGGCAGTGTGTAGATCTGTAAAAAAAACGGCAACAGGTCAATGTTTGTGCTTTAAATTCTTTATTGCCAGGTTTGTTGGTAGTTCTTGTATTACCTTGCTGCTAGGGGAAAGCCAGCTTTGCCTTCCACCTTCTCTTGACGTTTACTCCCACAGCACTCACCCAGGTTAATGGCCCTGTGCTAGGATCTGAGCAGGTGGAGAGGGCAACAATCCACTGTTTCGGTTGTGTTTGCAGTTTTACACAGCCGATCATCTTCCCCTCTGGGGAGAAGGCAGAGGGCCAGCGGGATGTGTCCCAGAAACCTATTCAGGCTGGCCTTGAGATTCTAGATTGACTAGGGATTTAATAGCATTAAATTTATAGGCACCTAAAATGTGTTAGAGGTCAGATTTGCAGACTCCAAATGGGTTAAATTTCAATACAACTACTGATCTAATTTCTGTACTGTTTCAGTCAAGCAAGAAGCTTGTAAAAACACTCATCTATCTCATAAAACTGATCAACCATTTTTTTCCCCTTGGACACAGGTCTGGCATCACCCTCATTCAGCGCCTATTTTAAGAGCAGATTAATAGTGGGAAGAAATCTCAGACAAGCCTGTCTCTTAGTAGCTTTCAACACATTTTTATGCTCTCCGCAGTGCCTTTCAAGATGGTGCTAATTGTTTACTCCGTGATGCTGCCCAAAAGATGGTTTGTTTTTACCAGTGCGGAAACTACCACTTCACAAATGTTATCTGAACCATGAATCCTATTAGACAATATGCTATCATATTACTTAAACTTTAAATATTTTAACATAAAATAATAATATTAAAAAGTAAGTAAAGGCTTAAATTCACTAATAGTTCTGCTTTTCTACTTTGTACCTATCTTCACTGTGTATTTGCAATGGTGTCTCACACAGAATTGTAGTTGCCTGTACTGTAACAGAGTATCTGAAATGCATACTACCTTATTTCTTTAATATGTGTGCCACAAAACTGTAAAAAGAAAAGAAAAAGAAAAAATATCCTTACTGGTTCCTTTCCATCCATAGCTTCGAGCCAAAGTTTGCGGTTGGATTCTGAAAAAGCTTGCAGTGTGATGATTCCAGGTCTGTCAAAAACATACGCACATACCGAAGTTACTAATTTCTTTTTCTCAAACAGTATCCAAAGTCAGAATCCAAATGCATACTGACATGAAGTGAATACATAAAAGACAGAGAGAAATTAAAGAAAGTTGATGGCTTCTGACATAACACAATAACTTTGAGCTAGATTTAAAAACAGGTCTGTTTTTTTAAAAGTTCGGTACTGCAACATGTAATTTTAGATGCCTAGTCCTAAGTGCTACAACCCTCTAAGAGGTATTAGGCACCTCCATATTGCAAGATGAGTTATACACCTGCAAACGGAATCCCATACAACCCATTTTTCAGTGGCGAGATGCTTAGGGTGGAAAACTTAAGGGCAAGAGACATCAGCTCAATTTGACTAAATACGTCTATGCCTGAGCTGGTTATCTACGTTGCTTTCATAGCAAATGAAGAGAAGTAGGTACTTTTAATCTAAAAGCCATCATATCCCAAAATCGGTCAAAAGAAACGTGCCCAAAAATGGTCGCCTAAAAAGAATGCTTTGAGATAGTATCTCAAGTATGGAGATGTAAAGCCAATTGAGCTGAGTACTGTCATGGTGCAGGAATTTTTTATTTGAGAGGATTTAAAAAACAAGTTCTTTCTGCTGGCTGTGCTCTAACCGCTATGATAGAAGTTAAAAAAGTGGCATATCCTCTCTGTTGATGAAGCTTTGACATTACATAGAAAAAGAGTCACGGAAACCAGTGAAGGGATGAGGGAACCAATTTCAATCTTTGTTCCTGGAATAATGATATGAACAGATATAATACAAATAAATACAGTAAATAGTATTATTACTGTATTTACTAAAGTAAATACAAAGAATTAGTCTCTAGTTGTGATCATAGGCAAATGAGTTCTGTAAGAAATGCTTTGAAATTAATTCACTGATTTCCAACATAGAATGCCCAAGAGACAGTCCATTTTAAAGAGTCCTGCTCCCACACCAGCATAGTGTATCTCTGCTCAAAACTTTCAACAGACTGTCCAAAACTGTGATTTTTCTATGGTAGGTTCACAAATAAAGGACACTATAGTTTTTACCAAGTATTTATCTTCCACCATAAAAATAAATAACAAAAAAACCCACCATCCTTTCGCACCTCCTCCAAAAGAACTATATTATCACCTTGTACTTAAAAAGCATGCAAGAAAGCAACCGGACAATATAAAATATCAAAATGTGTGTTCACCAAACCATTCAAGGAGAAGCAAGCCCTGCCCTTATACATAAAAATGCCAAGCTGAGGATTTTGTTTGTTATCTACTATCACAAGTGTAAAAAGATACAGTTAATCCAGATTAAGATGTATAATTTTCTATTTTCTTACAGTCTAAGTTTACTTCCGTTTTAATATTACATCTTGCTACCTACCCACAGATTCTTACCTAGGAATTTTTAATTCAAAAACTTTTTAGACATAGAAACTGATTTTTTTTTTCCTTCTTTCTATTGTGACTACTGCTTCATATTTCAGTTAGAAAACTGCATCTATACTTATAGTCCCTTGGTCAGCATGTACAGAAAGAACAGAAATTTCTGAGTGTGATTTTATTTTAAGCTTA